ATCGTTTAAGCCTTTTGTCATCAATGATTCTCAAATAGAGAAAAGAAGTAATCATGATAGTTTAACCTTTAGAAAGATCAATGAGAATATGATCCTCGTCGATGATCGATCTCTGACTGTGTTGTTTAAACTGCGAAAAGAAAAGTATAGAACCTTTTTTGATCAATTTGGGAAGATTAATAAGGGTTTGAGTCTCGTTGATGATCAGTATTGTCCCTAACTCTAGAACTGTGTTATTTGAACTTTAGAAAGATCAATGAGAGTTTGTTTAAGTCTCTCTTTATTCGAGAATACACGACTTGTTTGATCAGGCATCTTGTCTACTTTCAAACACAAGAAAGATATAGAAAAGAAACCTCTTTGGAGAGCTTTTTTAAGCCTAGTTTCCTTTCTCTGAAATCCAAGACAGACTTTTCACAACACCCTTTACTATAGTTGCAACCAATTTTAATATTTAAAAACTTGCTGCTGACAGCTGAAAAAAATAGAAAAAAAAAAACACACACACACACACTTGTCACATTACTTCCTTCAAGACCAGCCTTAATAAATTAGTCCTCTGGTTTAAAAAAATTGGTTGGTGGTCCTTTGCTTTAATAACTTAACTAGTTGCAAAAACAAAATGGAAAAATTATGAAAAAAAAAAATCGAAAATCAAGAAATGTTTAATCACTTTAACAAGCGTCTGGAAATGACTACCACATTTAATAGTATATGCTTGGAATACAATAACTATTAAATAAGAATCTGTGCGACAGGACGCTGGAAAACGTGACTTAAATTTCAAAAAAATAAAAATAAAATTCATAATTTTTTGCAAAAAAAAAAAAGAATATTAAATAAAAATATTAAAACTGTTGAATGAATGCCAAGCAAGCTAACACAAACTCAAACATTTGTGTTAAAGAAAATAAGTTAAAAAGGAATTTAACATGACTACAATTTTTTTCTCTCTATATTTTGTTATATTTTTTTTTTTGAAATTTACTCATTTCAACGAGTTATTGACTAATCAAACAGGGCTGACATTAAAAATTTTGTTTTATTTCTGTTTTTTGCTTGCGTTTAAAGTTGACAATACCAATAGGCAGAGGGAAGGATGTATACCTGGTAGAAAGCAAACAAACAAACAAACCGCGCTTTAACAAACAAGAACAATTTTGAAACGCTTGTCTTAGAAATGCCAACAATTGACCCATGATGTCATATTTGGCCTTATAATTCCCCAAAATGTAAGCTTTTGATATTAACAAAACAATAACACAGCAACAACATCAACAAAAAGCACCAAAAAATGTTTATCAACATCTTTCAGGGTTTTTTCTTCTTTTCTCTATATGTTGGGGTTTTAAAACAAATAAACATTGTGCAAGAACAGACAGTAAACTGAACTGAATTTAACGAAATAACAACAGCTATAACTACAATAACAAGAACAAAAGTGTGCAAAATATCCAAACAAGCTTATCAACACGACGGTAACAAGCCATCATCATTCCTAAATATCTTGGTGAGAGAGAGCAGCACATGTGTTTGTAGGCTTCAGCAGACGGATGGATGGACAGACAGACGGACGGACTGATGGACGGACGGACAAGCAAACGGACAGACAGACGTTTAACAAACAAACATCTTCAATTTGAACCAGCAACTAAGTATGCATGTTGTATGTTGTTACGTATTTACGGATGTGGGTAAATTTGAACCAGAAAAAAAATAAAACAAAAATGTTCCAAAAAAAATTTAAAATATTGGGTGGGTGTTAGAGTTATTTTCCTTGCTCCTAGGTGATCAGTTAAAAGAAATAGAAATTGGCAAGTACAGCATTAGGAAAGAATTGACGATCTTCATCTTCTTTAAAATGCTCCTCTTGGTGGACAATTTTTGATTAAATGGCTCTCAATTCACTTAAGAATAAATATCGTATTATCGTAGTGATCGTAGTGATCAGTCATGAAAACTCCAAATAAATAGGAGTCGGTTTATTCCTGATAAATATGCAATTGTCATCAAAGAGATCAGTCAAGGAAATTTGATCGACCAATTTGCTTCACAAGGTTCATAGCGTCCTCTGAAGATCAACCTGAAATTATTATACTTTCGGGATCCAAGCGTCAAAGTTAGGGAATGTGTTTTAATATCTGGAAAGATAGATATAACGATCAAATCTTTTAATCAGAAACAGAACTGGAAGTTGTAGAATTTCAAAATTGATCCTCGATGTTATATGATCAGTAAGTTCTAAAACTGATCGAATTGTCTTCAAAGAGATCAGTCAAGGAAATTTTATAGCAGCGGAGTTAGCTCATTGCGGAGCAAATATCGTATTGTCATTGTAGGGATCATATCGAGGTCTCAAGATCAATCGGACTGTTATACTCTCGGGATCTAAGCGCCGAGTTAAAGAGGCATTTTCAAGTTTATTAAGGATCATAATCTCTATGTCTAAAGATCTCTTGATCGACATCTTTAAATCGAAAAAAAGAACGGAAAGTTGTAGAATTCTAAAATAGATCCTCAAGATCATTCGATCAGTAAATTCTCAAAAGTTCCCTTAAAGTTGAAGGTTTTCTTTAATATCATTCAAAATGATCATGATGTACCAGCACAACTATAACTTTTCTATCCACCCAATAGATATGTTGTTGTGATCGTGTTTTTCTTGCTGTTCGATTTCTCAACTTGCTTGTTGTGTGTTATTGGGTGCATTACAAACATAAACACAGACACACCGAGAGACCAAAATAATCACAAGGAATCAACTTAAGGGAATTTCATAAAACAAACGAAAAATAATAATCTGTATCTTGTTGTTGTCCCCCTACAACAGCCATACTCTGCCGCCGCAACACACAACAGAAACGAGCAAAAATTAGTATAAAGCAATGTTATCAATTGCTGCCTGCATCAAAGGGGCATAGAGGCGCGCTTACCGAGATCTTAGATTGATGCATGTGCGCGAAACAATACATAAATATTTTAAAGAGCGTTATATATGTTGGTGCGTTCAACAAGGTGAAGCAACAACGAATTTGGCTTTTTTTACAACAACAAAATTCTATAAACAGGGCACAAAACATTTTGGTTGTGTTGCAGCAGCAAAAACTAAAACAAGAAAAAGTTTTACGAAAAGCTAAGGAATGAATTGGAGAGTTGTGATGGTTCTTGGGTAATAAGGAAAAAAAACGCGTGTGGTGGGTCGTTTTTGTGTTGTTAGTGTATTTGGCCCCTTTCAAGAGCTGTTTATTTGGCAGGAAGAGGTTTAGTGTGAGTTTTGCCAACTGGCGCCAACTTTTCAATAATGGTTAACGAGTTATTGAAAATGAGCCATAGGCAAACACAGACAACAACAACAACAACAATAAGAAGAAGAACTGCAGAAACCAACAAAAATTTGTTGCAGCAAACAGGGATGTTTGTGTGGTGGACTGACGGACGTTGGAAGAGACAGAAAAGTTTGTTTAAGGATTTAAAGTAGTAAATGCGTTGAACGCAACAGCTTTCCACTCACTCGTTAATTGTTGAGAACTAAGCCGGAGCAAAAAAAAAAACAAGCTTCAGGGAACCTTATGAGAAGCTAAAGCATAGGGGGGGATGGAAATATTTTACTAAGGCGCTGACAACTCTGCTTTAGGCTTAACGTACAACAGCAACATTTTTGATAGAATCATAAGAAAAAGGTATAATAAAGGTAGGAATGGGAAATAAAAAAAAATTGAACAGTTTAGTGGGCATGTTTTGTTGGTTTTTCGTTGACGTCTGTCGCGACGAGTTTAGACGTTTCTTATGTCCGTCCTTCCGTACGTCCGTCCGTCTGTCTTGTTGTTGGTTCCTTTTGGTATTTAGTTTAGTTAACAAAATACTGTCTGTTTGCCGTTAATAATATGGGTGATGAGGACGTTGTCCAAGACGGCGGCATCGACAACAACTACAACAACATTACTTATAACCATATTGTTGACGATGATGATGATGATCTGTTTGCTCATGAACGAGACATTCGTTAAATTTGATTCATGAGTCTCAAACTTAAAATAAAAGTTGTATTTTAAAGATTTGTTGTTGGTTTTACTGCGGCTGCTGCTGCTGTTGAGCTGTGTGTGTTAACAAAATTACCTGGTCTAAAAAAGATTGAGTGATTGCTGCTCAAAGTTATAATTTTCATATTTGTAAGATACTTTAACTGAGCAAAGGAGTAACACAGCACAATATAAAAATATTATAAAAAAAAATTGTTGGCTGTTTGGCTCAGTGGCTGTTGAGATGATGAGTAGTGAGTCCAGCTTAAACCGTGAGTTGGTCATTTACTACTTGGCTGGCTGGTTTGTTTGTTTTGTTAGCTGTGTCTTATGCCTTTGGCATTCTGCTGTAGCCTTTCAACACGTTCTGTGACCAAATAAAAATGTTTGTTTTAACTTAACTAACTGTGGTTGCTGCCACAACAATTTCACACAAATTGGACAAATGAAGCCACAGCATTAGTTGATAATAATGGGTGGTTTTTGTAGCCATATAAACTGGCTCCTCTAACCAAACAACCAACCGTCCTTCCTTCCTTCCTCTGTTGCAACATGTTAGTGTTCTTCTAGAGTTTTAGTGTGGCCGTGTAAAAGTAGTGTGTGTGTGGTAGTAATGGTGTTGCAGCAGTAATTCCCCAATGTGTTTGTTTTTGTTGTTATTTTTTGTTTTTGGCTAAAAACCAATATCAATTTACTACTACCTTGTGTGGCTACTTTAACAATATGTATATAGAAACAAATTTAAATTTTTCGTGCTTTTTGCTTGGCGCCACCTTAGCCAGTTTCTGCTCTTGAGCTCACGTTTGTGATTATGATAAAGTTTTGATAATGATAATTGTACTTCTTCCATAAAATACTTGACCACCATCATTATTATCACCGTTTGTTGTTAATTTATTTATAAAAATTTAAATTTTTTTGTTTAAACATTGTTTAAGTTAAATTGTTCTTATTTTTAATGTTTCTCTTTTTCTTTTACAGACAAATGTTTCCCCAAATGAAATTTCGGGTATCGGGTCTGGATGCCAAGGCGAAATATATACTTCTTTTGGATATTGTGGCAGCCGATGATTATCGTTATAAGTTTCATAATAGGTAAGTGGGTTTTAAATGTAGATTGAAGTGAAATTTGTTACAAGTTTTGCTTTAAACTCAGTTTAAGTTAGGTTTAGTTAACTAAAGTTTAAACAGTTTTATTGTATTTCAAAGTTTTCAACTATCTAATCTTAAATTAGTGGCCTCCGGTAAGTTAGTGGCCTCCGGTAGGTAAGTGTTCTAGTCTGGTAGACCGAAGGTGGTGGGTTCGATTCCCACCTGAAGCACTGGTTAAGGAACGCACAACAGTCCCGATAGGGGCCTAGGTGTACTTCTTCGGATTTGATGTAACATACATCCACCTTTCAAACTAATTAACAAACAATTAAACAAACAAACAAACAAAAACTAACTAACTAACTAACTAACTACTACGAACTACTAACTAACTAACTAACTAACAACGAACTAACAACTAACTAACTAACTAACGAACTAACTAACTAACTACTAACTAACTACTAACTAACTAACTAACTAACTAACTAACTAACTAAACTAACAACTAACTAACTAACGAACAAACTAACTAACAAAAAAAAAAAAAAGAACAAACTAACGAACGAACGAACGAAGAACGAACGAACGAACGAACGAACGAACGAACGAACGAAACGAACGAACGAACGAACGAACGAACGAACGAAACGAACGAACGAACGAACGAACGAACGAAAACGAACGAACGAACGAACGAAAGAACGAACGAACGAACGAACGAACGAACGAACGAACGAACGAACGAAACGAACGAACGAACGAACGAACGAACGAACGAGAACTACTAACTAACTAACTACTAACTAACTAACTAACTAACTAACTAACTAACTAACTAACTAACTAACTAACTAACTACTAACTAACTAACTAACTAACTACTAACTAACTAACTAACTACTAACTAACTAACTAACTAACCTAACTAACTAACTAACTAACTAACTAACTAACTACTAACTAACTAACTAACTAACTAACTACTAACTAACTAACTACTAACTAACTAACTACTACCTAACTAACTAAACTAACTAACTAACTACTACTACTAACTAACTAACTAACTAACACTAACTAACTAACTAACTAACTAACTAACTACTAACTAACTAACTACTAACTAACTAACTAACTAACTAACTAACTAACTAACTAACTAACTAACTAACTAACTAACTAACTAACTACTAACTAACTACTAACTACTAAACTACTAACTAACTAACTAACTGACTAACTAGACATTCATTAATTTACCACAAAACTGGTTGCTATTCCAAAATATTTCCATTAAAAACTAATTAAACCAGGTTTAACTTATAATAAGACTTTCAGCTAAACTTTGGTTAACTAAAGTTTAACTAAATTACACTTTAAATAAAAAATTCTTTTGTTTTATCTTAATGAATTATTATTAATTTTCCCTTGTTGTTTTTCTTCTACAGTCGCTGGATGATTGCCGGCAAAGCCGATCCTGAAATGCCCAAAAGAATGTATATCCATCCAGATTCACCCACAACCGGTGAACAATGGATGCAAAAGGTTGTTTCATTCCATAAGCTTAAGCTGACCAATAACATTAGTGATAAACATGGATTTGTAAGTACTGTACGTTTTCTTTGTTTACCAAAAACAAGTTTAGTTAAACTCGGGGTTTAAACTCTCGATATTTATCTTAACTTAAGTATAACAACATTTTCTATATACATATATTATTTTAAACCAAAAAAATACAAACAACAACAATTAAGCAAATTTTTTGCTTATTTGTTTAAATTTATATAACACATTTTTAACACATACTTAGAGAGACCTAAGAAAAAAGTACTTAAATGAAAAAGTACCTTATCTAAAATATAACGTACATAGGCGCCATAACTTTAATAGCGCTAAAAAAGCAAATCTTTTAAAATTGTTTAAACAAATTATAATTTTTATTTAGGTTTTTTCCCAAAAAAAATTAACTACAACGCCATTTTGTGGCAAAAAAACAAGCTTTCTAAACCTATTTATACAAACAAGTTCTTACTTTTTTTTTTGCCAATGTATATGTGATGTATGTTGGTATTCAAAACAAATCGGTGATAAAATGGTAGAATTAATATCGATCTTCTTTTTGCTCTAGTCTAGTCAAGTCTTTAATAAAAAAAGTTCTAGCTTAAAGAAAACACTCATATATGTATGTGGTTGTTGTTGTTGTTGCTATACAGGGCGGCGGCATTATTTCATGTTTTTATTCAATCAGTCGTTGGGATAAAACAGAAATTACACTTTGAATTTACCGCAGACGCCGGTAGATGTTGATGACGATGGTCGGTTGGTCTTAAAGATTTTGCCCTGTGAATCTTTAAGACAAATGAATAAGAATAAATGAATGAACATACAAATGAATATGGTGTTTATACGCTTACGATATGCAAAAATGTTTATACCAAACAACTATTCATTCATTCAACCAATTCAATTTTTACTTACTTCAGTTACGTCGTCCAACTACTTACTACTGGCTTTGCTAAGGCGATGATGGTCGTCTTAAACTCCTTCTTCGGTTTCCTATCTGTGCTGGTGTCAGTTGATGGTCTTCATTAAATTTATTTTGTTTATGAACCAAGTATTGGAGGAAACTTTTAGTCTAAGCAACGCAACAATTTGCTTATGTTGATGAGACTACTGAAGTCCAAAATAAAAGTTTTTCTTTCTTTTTTTTTTTCTCTGTGTGTTTTTTTGCTTATTTTGGCCGCCCGTCGCGTGTGCATGTAATGGGGCGAGTGCTACAATAAGCTCGTAAAGACCCAATAAGCGACAATATAAAAGAAGAGCCGATAAAATACCGACAAAAGATCAATAAAATTCAAAGTCGATTAATACGTCGTGGTGTGTGTTCTTTCTATCCCATCTTGGGTTAAGCGAGTGAGCATGAATTGTGTTCAATAGTTTTTTGTTTGTTTTTTTTTTTTAATTTTTAAATAATAAAATACGTTACGCGTTTTATGATACAGAACAGACAAGGGTTGAGTTTTATGTCAAAAATATTTATGAGAGTAGTTTAATTTATAACTTGTAGTTGGCAGAACTTTTTACAGATTTAAACTGGGTTTTTTCGGATTTATTATTTTGCATCCTTGTTAACCGAATAGTTAACTTAAACTTTGTTTAACTAAGTTTTACATAACTTAAGTTTAATGAGTTTTATGTAGAAATTTGTTTATCTAGTTGCTTAAGTTTATTTTAGTTATTTTAGTTAGTTAAGCTGAGATTAACTTAAGCTCTGTTAACCTAGTTTAACTAACTTTACTCGATAGTTTCACAATTACATAGTTAACTTAAACTCGACTTAGTCGTCAGTTCTACAATTTTTATAGTTAACTTAAACTCTGTTTAACTTGACTTAAACTATGACCAGTTCGTTCTGGTTTATTTCATTCTAAAGTTTTTGGTTTAGCTGACTATGAGACCTATTTAAACTTAGTTTAACCAGCCTTCCGCCTTTTTAATAATCCCACAAACTTACTCGATAGTTTTACAATTACATAGTTAACTTAAACTCGACTTACTTGTCAGGTAGAGCTCTTTTCCATGATCTGGAATGTCTCAGAGATGCGTCACCAGTAGACATGATCGGTTTTATTAGAAGCACCGGAACGAACCATGTAGTCAACGAAATTAGGGGGAGAGGGGGGGGGAAACCTTTTTTTCAATATCAGGAATGCCAATTCTAAGGGTGTCACACGAGCAACCCACGTAACCCAACTTAACCTAAACTCTGTTTAACTTAATTTAAACTATGGTTTATGGTTTATTTATTTTTGGTTTAACTGGGCATGAACAGTTTTTCACAAACTCAAGGCTCTCTTAAGATCTTAACTGTTTCTCATAATCTGGGATTTTTTCAATAGTTTACTTAAACTCTGTTTAACTAGACTTTAACTTAATCTAGCTTGATCAGATCTATTTCATTTTAAAGTCTTTGGTATTAACTTGGTTTTCATTACAAATTTGGTTTTATTTTCATTTTAAATCTATATTTTATAGTTAAATAATTTAAACTCTGTTTAACTAGACGTTAACTAACGCTAGTTTGATCAGGTTTATTTTATTCTAACTTTTTTATTATTATAATGGTTTTCATTACAAAATTTGCTACTATTTCCTTTCTAAATCTATATTTTATGGTTAATTAGTTTAAACTCAGTTTATCTTAAACTGGATTAAATCACAGTTATCTTAAATAAACCTTAGTTTTATTAAACTTTTTAAAACTATAATAGTTTTCTTAAACGTTAATTTCACCTTATATTCTTTGGGTTTTTACCAAGTAATTGAGTGATAGAATAGTTAACTTAAACTCGGTTTAACTAGACTTTAGCAAACTTATGTTTGATTTGATTTATTTCATATAGGTTTTCATTACAAATTTGCTTTTCTCTTTATGCACATAAAATCTTTCTTTTTTACATATTTAATCTTAGATTAACTTAAACTCGATTAAGTCAAACTTAACTTAACCAAAGATTATTTCTATTAAAACTAAGGACATTTAAGATGACAACTTTATTTAAAATATTACTCTTTGTGAAGTTTGATTCAAGTTTAACTAAATCAAGTTCATTAAACAAACGTTTAAACTCAGTTTAACTAGACTTTAGTCAGTGCATTTAGAACAGTTTAAATTAATTTCTTGAGTGTTAAATTGTTTTAATCACTTTCCAACTTTTGGGATCATTTTTTTTAGGAAAAAATAGGACCTAAACTTGATCTTTTTTATATAAAAAACATTTGTAAAATATTTTCACAGGATTTAAATTAATTGTTAGAAACTAAATTCTTAAGAAATAAATGTCTTAGTGTTTTCTTCAATAATTTTTTTGCGGTTCTAGTTTTTATACTAACCACAACATTTGTGTCTAGGTTTTGATATATACATCCCGATATTTATATTTTTGTTAAAGAAAAACTCAACATTCTGTCATTCTGCATATGTTAAAATCAAATTATATCCTTTTGTTTTCTTTTAAACACATTTATACGGTACATACACACATAATAATTATATCCTTTTCAAAACATTTGTATGTATAAGCCCTGACATCTAAGGAATGTATACCAACACCTGTCACCTTCTCAAACACCACTATAAAAATAACAACCACAACTGAATGAAAATACAAAAAAAAAAAAACAAAACTATATAAAAACTAAGGAGAAAAAGTGTCATAAGAATTGTTATTAGTGTGGTTCAATTAAATGACTTCAAATAACCACCTACTCCTCCTTCTTATACAGCTTATGCTATACAAAGTTTTTCTATATTTAAAATTATAAAGGAGGCCGTTTGTTATATGTATGTGTGGCATGTTTTGTGGCACTGCTCAATGAACTGTTGAACTGTTAAACTCTAGAAAGTGAGTGCGTGTCAAAACATAACCCAATATCTAACTGTATGCCGAGCTGTTCAGCACCCTGCAATTCCCACATGTGTAATAATTTTATAATTATACTTTAAAGTTTATTTTTTTCTAACGTTTTTTTTTTTTCTTCCAAAGAGTTTTCAAAATGAAAACATTGAAACGCACTTAAATATACCTATAGGTATAAGGAGGGGGACCTTAGACCAGTGGGGTTATAGCATGTTTTGTTATTAATCCCAAAAATTCTAGCAATGCTTTTCAAACTGTAAGCTAAAACTACCATAACTTTACTAACTTACTACCCCTACAATTATAGTTGCAGCATATTAATGTATGTAAATATTGTATGGTATGTGTTTTATACTTACACTTTTACACTTCTATATTTGTATTGCGTGAATACTTAAATAATGATAATGTCGGCCATATTGATTTGAAGGAAGAGCAACATTCGCACCCTTTTATTTACAACAATAAAAAAAATATGGAAAAAAATCCCCCTTATTTTTCCTGTAAGGCTTAAGCAAAATTATAAAAACGTATGTAGTATTCAACATTTTGTGGCAAGTCGGTTTTGTTTGTAGTTCGATCGTTAAATAGGGGTTGAGTTTTAATTCAACAATTCAATTCAAAAACATACATTATACAAAACATATTTCCAGATGATCGCCAAGGACCTTTTGTGTGTTAAATTTTTTTTGTTGCTATAAAATGCTGCTGCTGTTTGTTGCTGTTGTTGCCTTGAGGCTGTTTTTTTTTAGATTAATTCATCTTCAAAATTTTGTATATCTTTTCTTAATGTGGCCTTAAATTAGAATAAATCAAGCATGAATTTTCTACAGGCTCTCTTCAAATTATGTTTGAGTGTTTCGGAAAGGTTACGCAGACAACTACCAAAGAGGCCAGCAAAACAACAACAACAATATCTAACTAACTAACTAACTAAGCAAATTGGCCAAATTTTCTTTGATTTTCTAATTCAATTGTTTTTGAACAAGCATCCCATATGAGGACATTGCCACAAATTACTTACCTACATATGCATGTGTTTGTGTGTGCGGGTGTGTGTCTCTAAAACATTAATGCCTGAATTGGTCTGCTTTGTAGCAGACCCCATCATCATCATCATCCATCCTTGTGATGATTATATTGTGTAGTCAGTCGTCATCAGTTATTGAGCATCAATTAAGTCGATACATA